TGAATTCCTGTTTCTGAGGTTCTCATTATTTCCAATTAGATAAAGGTGACCTTCCCCTTCCCCTTCCCCAAGCTAAGTCTCCCATGAGACTCGTGACTTCAGTGGAGGCCAATCATGGCTGTCACTTATTGACTCTTAGAGTACTTTCATTGTTAAAGAGCTGCTAGGAAATTAAGATTGCAACATGGCGAACAGAGTAGTCAGCTGTATCACACACACACCAGTTTTATCAAATGATTTGGTTTGGGATTTTAAAACTTGCTTATTACTTGAGCACTGGGAGACAATTTGAATTTAAACTAAGATGGAGAAACTGAAATGCTAAATCACAGATCCTAGAGTTAAAATCAGTGATATGCAGGGTAGAAACATCTTCAGATCTACATCAAGAAAAAATGAGATTAGGTTGATGTAGAGTTTGGCTCTCATTGCTAGAGTGGCCTCTACATCCAAGAGGATATTTTGTCACCCAGGTGAGACTAAGATGAGAATTGCAAGAATGTTATCTTCCAGTCCACTTTTTTCTCCAATCCTTATACTACCATGGAATTTGATATCATCAGTTACTATGAGAATGAAATATCGGTGGGAATCCCCCACCCCACCCCTTTCACCCATATATCTATCTCTTTAGAAAAGAGAGAATTTTACCACTTACCCTAGGAAATAGCCAAGTCAAACACAATTAATATAAAGATAAATGAAGCCTTCTTTAAAACTATAAAGTTGGAAGTAGGACCTAATATTCTGGAGTAAATTGTGTCCTTTTATGAAGGAAACACATGTGAATCATTTTAGGCAAGTTAATTTCTGCCACCTTCCTAATGTAATTATTCCAAAAATAATGTCAGTAAAATTTTAACTGAGAATACTGTAGGCACCACTGATGGAAGTGTATTTTCTTATCTTTCAGGTAAGAAAAAATTACATCTAGTTGACCAAATACTAGAATAACAACTTTTACTTAAAACTATAATACTAGCCATGAGAAAACAGATTATAGATTTATTTCTTAGAATTTTTCGTCCCAATAATGTATGGAAAGCTTCCTTTCATAAGAAAATGTTCTAGTGTTTGTTTTTAGGTCACTGCTAACACAGAAGAGCCCTATTGTACAGATGTTACTTTTGTACCTATTCCTTGATTATTGAATCAACCTCATATTGATACTGTCATCATTTTACAAATAAGGCAACTGAGACAAATAAAAATAAGGAACCTCCACAATATATTTAGCCTGAGAACGAAAACAAGAAAAAAACCAAAATGTCCTGCCACAGACTCCCTTCATTTGCCTTCCAAGGTTTCTCTGAGTTCCTCCCTGTCACTATTCTCGTGTTATGGAAACTACAGGTTGAAGGGACATGAAACAAGAAAAAATGCCCCTAAGTTGCTGCACTTCAACTGTGTTCTCCTCAATTATTTTCCCCCAATATGTACAATCTATAATGATAATAGAAAGAAGACTGACATTTTAAACAATGGGTTCTTGCTCAAAGGGAATTTACTCTTCTTACATGGATAGAATTTGCTTTTCCCAAGTTGTGGGACTGCACTGTCTACATAGATGTATGGTACAAAGGCATATACTGTATAGTTTATTTTTGCATCTCTCCAGTGCCTACCACTGTTCTATGGAGAACAGTGTTCCAATTTCAGAGGTTGGGTTAAGGGAGAAAACTGACTAGATTCTGTACTGTGTGCTTCTGTCACACAAATTTGAAAGCTCTTTTAAAGACAGTATAGATTATTTTTTTTCTACAGATAGCCACAAGGTAAACCATTATCTACTTAACCTTGTTAAAGCTAATTTTGAATTTAATTATATTATTTCTTATTGCTACACACATATACACATGTATCCTTTCACTCTTACTCTAAATGAAGTGATACATACATGTAAGTAATATGTATTTCAAATTTCTATTCTATTTACCCTGTGCCTTGTATTGTAACTTGCATGTTCTCAAGTATAATTGTCAAATCACTCAAAAATGAAATGAAAACTTGTACAAACATCAGTACTGAGAAGCAGAAATATTTCTCTTTTATAAAAACAAATCAAATGTCAAAGCAATCAAGCTTAGAGGTATTTCCTAATGACCTGGCAGTCAATAACTCCCAGTGCTAAATAAATAAATCACTACCTTCATTGTTACAAAGGCATGAAGGTTGTCTGCATATGAGTTGCTGTGGTTTCTATGCAGTTTTAAACCAATAGTCCAGGTTTAGCTTTCAGGGCTTTGGGAATGAGGCGGTTTTCTTTCTCAGTGACTCTAAGTTAAAAGGGTGGGAGGAAATGTGTGTATTTTAAGTGTCTTAGCCAAATGCGAAAATTCAGGATTCAGCCCAATTCATAGGTATACAACACAGCATTAAAGACAGTGGACAGAAATAGAATCTAGTAATAGGTGAACTTTAGTTTTTTTCTGAAACATGGTATTTACTTCTGTAGTCATCCCCATTTCTGCCACAGATAGGTTGTAAAATCGACGTTAGTCCCCATCTTGCAGGGGACGATTTCCAAGACTCAGTTTCCTGAAAATTCATACAGGCAATGACTATCAGTCAGAATTTCTTCTACTCTGTATCATTTTCAAACTTTACCTTAAATGCCCTCTCCTGAGTACTCAAAATCCACTTACAGATTATCATTTGTCTAAAACCAGAAGAAAATTGTTGAACATAACTTCCAAGCTGTTTAATCCCTTCTTTGATGTAAATTTGTAAGTTCTATGGTATCTGTTACTTCAAAAGGAAGTGCAAAGCATTGGGTCAGGAAAAATCTTTCAAAAAATGTTGTTGCTTTAGTTTTGTTTTTGTTTTTTTTTCTTCTTCTTCCTTTTTTTTTTTTTTTTTTTTTTGAGATAGGGTCTCACTACATACTTTAGGCTGGCCTTGAATTCGCTATGTAACCAGACTGACCTTGAACTTGGGGAAATCCTCTTGCTTAAGTCTTCCTGAATGCTACAAGTTATATATTTTTCAATTGATCTGATTTATAAGGGGAAAATTAATGCATTTTTTGCTTTTATGTTTTAAATGATGCTATTGGGTATTGATAATATTGCAAGTTGCTTTGGGTACTTGAAGTTATAATGACAGACTAAAAGTTCTCCCTTCATAAAATGCAATGAAAATATAGTAGAAAAATTTTAGAATAAAACTCTACCTTTATTAAACTGAACAAAAATCTAAGAGAAAGCCTAAAAATATAAAGGCAATCTTCTCAATTCTCTACTATTTGGAAAAACTAATGTGAAAGCTATTGTGCAATGTAATACGACTCATGCAGAATGGCCGCCTGGCTATGATGCCATCAAGACAGTTATCCAAAGACAAAAATAGTGACTGAATATCCTGTTAATTCTGATAATGTTAGAAGAGTCATATCCAAGAGATGCATACTTTTTTCCATCCAGGAATTTAGTGGGTGTATCTTTTGCCCAAAAGACTTATAAGGATTTCTCAGGAACTTCATGACAATAGCCTCCAGCTGTAACATGTAATCCAGTGACATGGATGAAGCAGAACCATTCCAGAGACCTACAGTGAATAACCATTATTTTAGACATATACTGATCTATAGATTTACTTAAAAAATAAAGGATATGGTCCTGAAAGCTCATCCATGATTATTTAATAGAATCAGCAAGGAGTCTGGGTATTAGGAACCAAGTACAGGCAACAGGGAGGCATGAAGGAAGAGAGGTAGAGGCTATAGAATATCTCTGTACAAACTAGGTTTCATGATGTGGACTCTGTATTGTAGTCCTTGCCTAGGACATGTAGGTCCTTGCATTCAATCTCTGCACTTCAAAAAACAACAAACCAGCTAACAGGACTATAAAGAGGGTAAGGCCAAAAGGGACTTTTTCTTACATTTTCTTTGACCTCACATTCTATATTGACAAACTCCCTGGAGGTAAGTCAGCTTAAAGATTATAAAAGAAACTACAAACAAGTTTTCAGTTGTTGACCCAAATCAGTAAATTTCTCCTCAAAGAATTTGGTACAGGTACAGTTGCACAATGAACTTTACGTTCAATGCTTTGCTAGAATAGCTCACAGAACTTTATTTTCTTTACCAGTTTATTGTAAAGGATACAAATGAACTAGATAGATAAGCACAGAATCCTCTGTCCATGTGGATTTTCCCATCTCATTGTTCAAGGGTTTTTTCCAGCCCCAGTCTCATCCTCTACCATCTCTCCTTTCTGAGCATCTTGCTGAGTGAGCCTGGAGTTCTAACCCTCTAAACTCCTGGTCTTTCTGGTGACCAGCTCTATTGTGAAAATAGCAGGGAGCTGTCCTGTCACCTTCTTTGCATAAACTCTACAGTGGTGATCAAAATGAGCTCATTATGAATAACAAAAAGCACTCTTTTATATAGTAAATACCAAAGATATTAGGAGTCTATTCCCAGAAAAAGAACAAATACATTATTTTTTATCATATCAACCCTTATCTCTGCCCATTAGCAGAGATTAGGAGCCTTATTGGTTTGAATGTTTAAGTAGTCTTGACCAATGTTTGGCTAAACATTAAGCTGTACAAATACAGTGATAGACGTTAGGTGATATGCTTAAATATAGAAACAAAAAACTTCAAAGACATCATCAACCACATATTTGAAGGAATCAGATTCTTCTTAGTCCACATTACTTACTAAACCACAAAACAAAAGTAAGTAAACCCTTCATAATCCAGCAATTTCTCCCTTGGGTATCTAAACAAGACGAATGAAAGCATATGCCAGCAAAAGAACTTGTGTCTAAATATTCATAACATGTTATCTTAATAGCCTACAGCTAGAAGCAATTGAAGTGCCCATCAGCCTGTAACTGAAATGTGATCTGTCTGTAGAATGGAATACTATTCAGTTGTAAAAAGAACAAAGTGATACATGTTACACCGTGCATGTTTTAGTTGGTTGGAACTGTACTATAACAAAGTCCCATAGAATAAATGGCTTAAATTATGTTAATTTTTTATCACAGTTCTGGATCCTGGGGCTTCGAAGCTCATGGTACCCAGAGACTGCATTTGCAGAGGTTTGCAGACAACCTTTTTCTCATATTGTGACATGGCAGGCAGAGCATATTCTAGTCTACTCTTTTTTTTTTTAAATTTTATTTATTTATTTATGTGTGTGTGTGTGGCCAGCTCAGTGCACCAGGGGGCGGGGCTGGCTGGCATGTGGTGCTGGGGGATTGAACCGTGGTCCCTGTGCTTTGCTAAGCTTGTTCTAAGTAGGTGCTTTAGACC